AAACCCCCCAAAAAAAAAAAAAAAAAAAAAAAACAAAGGATACAAAGTAAAGAAAATTTGGAAACAATCTATGGTAATGCTAACAATCTCAATCAAGTGGCATAGTCCAATACTGTATTGGTCAAACCATATACAATCAACTTGAACCCCCTAAATCTCCAAAAACATTTTAAGAGAATTTAAAGGATTTGGCATCCTTTGATCTAGATCTCAACTTATAGGTAACATATTTCTTTTGTGCAACGGCAGATTCATTCCATAGCCTAGGATTGCACTTGAAGGAAGGCTTATATGGAAGGGGAGGACCATCACTTGAATCCGTCTTTGAATCATTTTCCTCACCACAGCTTTGGTTTTCCTCATTGGACAAATCCTCCAGGGATGGCATTCCCTCTAGAGAATCCTCCTTGGCAGCCACTACAGATGTATGTGGACCAGCAACTAGACCAGCAGCTTGACCTGCAGGAGCTTGAGATGCAACCTTGTTCAGCACAGCAGAAGTAGCGTCCAGAACTGCAGCTGCATCAACATCTTGACCTGGCTGAACTAGGGCAGATATACATTTCTGTTTGGGTCCAGAGTCAACTGCTGCACCAAGTTTACGTACCACATTGGACTCAAATGTTGCATCCGCATTACAAACCGCAACTGCTGAATGATTGTTATTATCAGCTACTGATCGACCAGGTTGCTTGAGTTGCTTCAGCTGTGTTGGCTAGTCATGCGGTGCTGCCACAACAAGAACAAAATCATTGTTAACCAATCCACCAACCAACAATTCTGATTCAGCCACCACACCGACCAGATTCGTTTGAGTTATTCCAGCTGATTCCACTGCATGCGAGCTAGCTCCTACATTCCCATGCACATGTAAACCTAAGTTGCCAGCATTCTCGGGAGGCTGATCCTCATGATCACCAGTTGTTTGACCAGCTTTTAGGCAGCCATGCACACGTAAAGTGTCCACATCACCAGCTACACATGGCTGCACCAAATCAGTGGCTAAGACATATGCATCATCCAAGCCCCCTGCCAACTGATCCTTTGTTGAGATTGAGTCAGCTGGTTCACCAACATGCTGACCAGCATTTGGGTTATCTACAACATGTGCACTCCCCCAGCAGTTGCTGCGCCAGTAGATTTACATGGCCCATCCTGCATATTTTGTAAATGTATTCCAGTGCCTCCATTAGGATTACCTGGCTTGCAAACCGCTTCCACATGGCCAATGGACCCACAGGAGAAGCAAAATTCAGGCAGCTTTTCAAATTGCAATGTAACGTGAAAGGCAAAGCCTTCCTTTTCCACCAAAATCTGTTCGGGTAGATACTTTTCAAGATTAACTTCAACCAAGATTCTTGCAAAGTGACCATAAGCTTGGTTCATCGTGGCTGCATCGAGACAAATGGGAACACCAAAACCAGCAGCAATAGAAAATAGAATATTCATTGACCAATATTCCAGGGGCAAATCAAGAATACGTACCCAAACCTGAACTGTGGTGTTTCTTTGGAGTCTTGGGTTAAAATCTGGTTTCCAAGTGATTAATCTAAGCACACCTGGATTCAAATTCCAAGAACCAGCAGCAAGAATCTTTCTTGTGTCTTCATCATTTTGGAAGGAGAATTCAAAATGTCCTCTTCCTAGAGGAATGATTTTCCAGCCACGAATCATGTGCCACAACTAGGAGAGTTTAGCTTGCAGCTCCACACGTTTAAATGGTAGTTGACCTCTGGAAAGGATCACTCTACCATGTAAGTGTTTCCTACACCTTGCAAGGCCCTCAAGATATGATTCTTCCGAGATTTTTACAGCCAACACATCTCCCTTCCAACAAGGTTTAGGGAGTGAAATCAAGTCATGCAGCTGTGGTAGGGACGGTCCAGCCAAGGCTGGAGTAGAAACCGCATGTGCATAGGACTTAGGAGGTGGTTTAGAGCCTACTTTGGTTGGAGATGGCACAAGGCATGGCCATGGACAAGCGTACATGCCAGCCATGCCTAGCCTAACTAAGCTAGTAAATCCAGAATTGTTCAGTGTAGTCTTGAAGCAATCTTGGAGCAAAAGTGAATTTTGTACAAGTAGATACTTTTTTTTTGAGTCTATAAATGTTTTGAGTTTTAAAACAATGATATTTTTTATTTTCTCATGTATTTCTTGGTATAAAAAAAAATAAAGATAATGTTGAACAAGATAAACTTTGAACTTAAGTAAATGTATGTTTTAATGTAAAATTTAATTATATATTAACTTATACTATACTTGAACTCCGAAAGGAAGATACAAAAGGATAGAATTAAAAACTCCTCGACTTGTACGAAGTTGTCTTCCAAGGATCAAATAAAAATGTAAATAGCAAAAAGATTTCATTAGAAGCATGGTGGTAGCTGTTGGACCTACCACATGAGCCTAGACCTAATAAGATTAATATAAATAATGAAAGTTAAGAGAAAGAAGGTTCATTTTTAGCATTTCTTACAACATTAATTGCATTAAGTTATCTGGGATTGAGGGTTGACTTGAAGTTGGAGTGTCTATCAATTGTTTTTGATAACGATGTCGAGTCACTATAAAAAATTACTAGATTTCTTTTTCTTCAGATTTGCAATATAATGAACATCCTCAGTCATTCTTCACAAAAACACAAGCACATTAAATTCGTATTTATCACGCAATTAGGAAGGAGATTTTTAATATTTGAACGATATTCAATCAATAAATAGAGAACTAGGAATAAAAAATTTAATCGAAGAAGTATTGATTTAAGGCTTCATTTTGTACGATAAAATTTTCATAGTTCAACAATAAATATGAATTCTCAATCAACCTAATTTAACACGAACATAATCCAAAACATCGATCTATGAATTCAATCAAAAACATGAAATACAATCGCAATCTCACAAATTTCATAAAATTTAAGAACGATGTACGATTGAATTAAGCAATTCAGGTTATTTTATGTCAAAGTTTAAATCTAAAATTAATCTTCAATCCTTGTTCTACATCCAAAACGAAATTCACAATCATGAAAAATGAAAGAAAAACACAAAACAAAGAAGAAAAGAAACGAAGAACTTGTTCGGTAAAAAGATTGAAAACTCAAATTTTACCATAATTCTTGAAACTTATAATCAATTAACAAACTAATCACGAATCGTAATCATGTTGCAACAATCCCATTCATGTAAGCAAGAGAGAAAATACAAGAGAGAGAGAGAGAGAGCATTTTGAGAGACTTATAGGAAAATCAACTCAATTTCTGAAAAAGACGTATATGATGTCAAGTGTACATGTGTTACACTTGTTTATTGACTACACTAATGAGCTTAATTTGAGTAATTGAAGGTCCAACCCACTAAATCAACTAATTACATCACTAAACAAATCTTAACATTACATTCTAAAAATAAAAGGAAAATACTATGTAAGACTACAACTTTGCAATGTAAATTTGGGTCACTTAATGTTCGAATCGACCTTTGCTCCCACAAAGAAGTTGTAAAACTCTCTTTTATCTTTTTAGGGATACCAAGAGCGTTTAAATCTAATGTCGAGAGTTCTAGATATGACCTACACAAGAAACAATGTCAAAAAAAATATGAAAATTAATTAGAATTTACAACTAAAACCAAAATGACTTACTAAAACAAATTAAAGTTAATATATATCATAATATGATACTAATAAAAGACAAATAAACAAAAAATAATAATGCATAAAAAGATATGCAAAAATTGATCTATCACATTTATTACAACTAGCAGAAAAAAGACACTCCATGTCTCCATTGTATTAAAAAAAAAAAAAAAAAAATGAAAAAAATGAAAAATTACTCATAAAAAAGTAGTTATTGAAAAATAAACAAAGGATAACAAGGTCCATGTAAAAATAAAAAATAAAAGTAATTATTAAAAGTAGTATCTCCTTTATATATTAGTATAGATTCATTAGTTTCAAGTTCTTAAATTTGATTAAAAAAATATTTTTTTCTAATTTTTTAAAATAAAATGGTATAATGATAAAAAAATGTAGAGACCAAGGTAATTACCGAAAATGGTATTCCTTTTATATATTAGTATAGATATTAATTGCACTTGATTGTTTAGGATCGAGACAAACTTGAATGTTAGAGTATTTTTTTCATATACCTCATATTTTCTCTTGAATAAATATAGTCGAAGACTAAGGAAGACAATGACTTTTGGAGAAACACCGGAAGTGATAGGATTATTTATATATCCCCGTATAGATACATATTTTTCAATAAATTTTAATAAATTAAAGAAAAATATGCTTAAAAGAGTTTTTTATTTTTTATTTATTTATTTATTTTTTGCATTTTTGCATTTTTGGGTATACCAAATAGTGATATCTTATCCTACTTCTCGGCAATGTTTGAACTTCGAACTTACGGGCCTGGCGTTTGCACCTTATATGTGGACTACCTAGTTGAGCCCAAAGGTAAAGCCAAATCAAGCATTTTGAAAAGTTGTGCGTTGCGCCAGTGATCGAGACTCGAGCACAGTTGCAGTGGAACACGCTCGGAGATGGAGGAGAATTGGAGTGGTTGGGACTCAAACATGGTTGCGGTGTTAGAAACCCTAAGAAAAAGAGGTTGGTATTTGGAAGACACGGTCGATTTGAAGGCCATCGTCGTCTTTCAATCCGCACTTGCCGATGACCCTTCCAAGGTGGTTGAATCCGTCGAGTCAGAGCTTCTCAATTCGGACCTTAGATCCATCAGCGCCAAGTCCTTGCGCCAACCCGCTCTTCTTCGCAATCCTTCCTCTGTTCTTCAGGGTCCCATAGTTCTTCAGGTAAAAATATTATTTTTTAAAAAAAAATTTTTTTTGTTGTTTTGCGGTATTCTGAGTGGCTTTGTTAGTTGGTTAAACTTGTGGGTTGGTGTTGTGGTTCGTATTTGTTAATGGAATAATAATTGGGGTTTGTTGGATTTGGCAGATAAGTTCTGCGAGGGACGTATCTAAGAGCAGCGTGGATGAGTTTCTGAGAAATTCAGGTGGTCGGAGACTTCTTAGATTGTGTCTCACTGATGGTCACTCTGAAATAACTGCTGTGGAATATTCTCACGTTCCTTCTATACCAGACAATGTGGTTCCGGGTACTAAGGTAATGCACTCTTGCTATGTATTGCTGCAATTGCGTTTACGTTTGTGTGAGTTTGTGACCTAATGCATGGCATAGGACATAATGAACTTTATAAAAAAAGTTACATTGATTTATGTTGGGTATACTAGGAGTTAAACACGGGGAGAATTCCATCAATGAGTCATAGCTCATGAGAAAATCAACCCAAAACAAGGCGTAAGGTTTTTGTTTTTCACTTAATATTGCTCAACATACAAGAACTTGTATGAGTTGGCCACATGGTTGAACCATAAAATCTGATATAATTGTTGGGGATATGAGAGGTTAAACACACGGGAAAATTTCATTAATGGGCATTGGGCAATAAGCAAAGCAAACCATCTAAGTGAACTAGAAACCACATCTTAATCCAAAATCTTAAGGTAACAGATTTATGGGGCTTCCTCACTTATACGTTACATACCCATGTCTATCTAATGTGGGGCTTGTCATTTACACTTGTACACATGGTTGTCAAACTCACGAGTTAACTCGTAGAATCATGCGAGTTTACTAGTCTAGGGTAGGAAAACTGGTTAACTCGTTGCTAGAATCGTTTTTTGGTAGACTCGTGTAGACTCGGCAGGACTCAGGTAGAATCGCGAGTCTATGGGCGAGTTCGCGAGTCAGCTTCAGGTTAATTTTTTGCCCCCTAAATGCCCAAAACGACGTCGTTTTAGAGCGGGTTTCTAGTCTTCTCTCTATTTTCTTCGATCTCTCACTTTTCGCATACGAAAACAACACTCTCCCTTCGCCGCGTTCTTTGATCTGCCTCTGTTCGAGGCTTCGAGATCTCACGACACTGTCCGACATCGTTCTATCCGCCTGACGCTGTCCTTGTAGCTTCTGGCGTCGTTCCTGCAGTTTTCGACGAGTTGTTCGTGCTCACGTTTCCCTGCTCGTCCAGCACCGTTCATTCACCTCTGTCACATTTTCCGATTTATAGGTGTTGTTTTGATTGCCTAAACCAGCACACTCTGCTGGGTTTTTTTGTTTAATCTTGAAGTCCTGTTTGTTTAATTTCAGGTCTGATGTTCTGTTTTCTGGTGTTTATTTGGTCTGTTAGTGTTTAATTTCAGACTTAGAATGTTGAATTAGTGATATCATATTGTGTGTGTTCATTTGTTTTAATATCTTTCAATATTAGGTAGACTCTTACGAGTCTATGAGAGCTCCATGAGTTTGCGTAGACTCTCGAGTTTGACAACCTTGCTTGTACACCAACAGTTTACATGTTGCCAAGCGAATTGCCATAGGTTGATGCATGTTTGGAACATTTTGTGACCTTGCTTTCTGTTATTAACTTATTATAGTATGTGGCATGCTGATTCCTTAGTGATTATAGGGTGTATTGCTTCTCTCTATGTATTTGTTTTGTAAATCTTTATTTGTATATATTCACACGGATTCTTAATTCAGTTTCACCCTTGGTGATGCTGTTCTTTTGTTTTGTTTCCATTGGACAGATCCGTTTGGAAAATAAAGTTGTGGTTCACAGTGGTATTGTTTGCTTAAATCCTAAAGTACTGACTGTATTAGGAGGTGTTGTTAAATCACTCCATGAAGAATGGGAGATGAACCAAAAATATTCAGGATTGTCCCGATCATCTTTAAGAAAGCTAGAGAATCGTGATACAGGTGGTCCTCCATCATTTGTGAAGCTGCAGGTTGGATCTTCCTCAGGTCAAAAGGAACAATTTTTTTTTTCTTTCTTTCTCTTTTGTTTGTTACCACGTGCACTGCTTCTTTGCTTGAATGTTGATTGTGATTTTGGTTTTGGTCAGTATTGTACACAGTCAAGCAATTTTTATTTTTAGCACAGAATTGGAATTGTTAAGTAAGTACATTGTTATATGAATGGTCATTCATGTTTACCATCTCCTCTTAAGGCTATTTCATTTTTTACTTCTTATTATAATATTATATGTGAGGGCTAGATGATGGAATTTACCTTGACCTCCAATATTTAGAAAACCTACAAAAGCAGCCCTTCTAGTTTTGAACATTGCACATGTCACATTGTTAGTTTTCATAATACTGATGCCTCCTATTATATTTTTTCCACACCATTTTACCAAGAGAAGAAAATTTCTGGACATGTATGACTCGTTTATACCAATTTCTCTACTATTAAAATAAAATATCAAGGGAGACCAGTGTAGCACAAAACTAATGGGTATTTTGCAGGTTTCATTAACCTCAAAGGAAGTGAAATTTACTAGTGTTAATGATTGCTTGAACAAATATAGATATCTTATTTATGACAAATTGACAATAAATCTTGAAACTTCCATTGTATTGTTTAATGGTTCAGAACTCATGTTAGTTTGCAGTGAGTTGACAAAAACAGTTATCTCCAACAGGTATTGCGGATTATAACTCTAGAAGTCGTAAGCCAATTGCTGAGGTTGGTGAACCTGAGAGGAGACCATCTGATATCAAGCTAGAACCTAATCAGAAACCAAATGTTTTGGATGTAAATCTAGAATCCAAACCACCTCAAGAAAGAGCTGAAGACAAGGCTAGTAGTTCAAGCACAAGGCCGAAAGAAGGTGCTTCCTTTTTCTGCTAACTGTTTTTGGTATATATATGATATGGTAATCTTTTAGATGTTTGATACATGGAAAGTTTTTACTTTCTTGAGAATCTAAGATTGGAAATGATAATTTTCCATGTTTGGTATGTTATTTAAAAAAATAATATTCATGTTTCTTGGGAATTTTCACACAACTTCTCCACAATTTTGTTCTCATGTGGGAGGTAAGAATCTAACTTTTCTAAGTTAAAAGGAAAGTTTTACCGTGGTAAAAATATCATGTTACCTTAATTTGTTTATTTAATACTGAAATTTTTTTTGATTCTTAAGTAACATTTATAAATATTTCCAAAATATTTATGGTCAACCAAACAAAATTTAGTCATTCCCAATCATAATTCCTAGGCATAATTTGAAATTGAGTCCACAACAGGAAAATGCTAGTCTAGATTGATATTATTTTCATCTGTTAATTTTTTGTTGGTTGAAATGGCATTTGTTTGGCAGGTGACAGAAGAGAAGAGTGTCTATATAATAAAAAAGCTTAATCAAAATCCATTTACAAATGCTCTAGGAAGGGACTCACTGGCTGGATGTTTTATTTAATATTATCAATGAGACCTTTTGCATCTCTTTTTGAATGAACTGATCAATTAAGTTACCAAAACAATATAAAATGGGCAGAAAACTTATGCCTCCCTTTCTCTCTGATTGCATTAATGTGAGATCATGTTTGTCCTGTTTACAGTTGTGGATTCTGTTCCTGTCCAAAATCAAGCAGCTGCACAAAAATTACTTCAGAAACTGAATCACCCTAGTCAGAATGATCGTCATTTCAAGGGTCGGAAACATAGGGGCAAGGGGAAAGAAGAAGATCCAGTTGTGTTCACTCTGGAAGAATACGAGAATAGAAGGGCCCAGACAAAGCCTTCTAATAAAGACAATAATCTAGACATTAGCCGTGATGAGGATCTTGCCAGGCAGCTTCAAAATCAGCTTTACCTTGAAGACTCTCAGGTCAGTAGCTTACTCTTGTAGTGATTTTTTGTGCTTTATGCTGTTTTGTTTTTCTTTTCATCTTCAAATGTCTTATTATTTTATATATGGCTTGTTTAGGGAGGATGGGGTGGTTATGAAGCCAAGGCACAAGATATTAGAATGAGTATGTTCACTTATGAAAGGGATTCTGACAGCAGCCAAATGGCAGGAGGAAGAAGTGGAAGGGGAAGGGGAAGAGGAAGGGGAAAAGGAAAAGGAAGAGGGAGAGGAAGATATGGTTATTAAATATAATGCATTTTCTTTCTTTTATTTTAAGAAGATGGAAATCTTGGCTTTAGAATCAATTTTGAGGGTTCCTTGGACATAAAATCCATCGAGAGGAGCAACGATAGCGTAGGGTTCAATTTTTTAGGTGATCAACCTCTTTTCTTTTTCTTTGTTACGTGTATATGATCTGTTGGATATTTTTATTTCTTTCTCCATATAGAATATTCTCTTTGGTACATTGGAAAAATTTACAAAAAAAGAATTAAGAAGCAACAAGCAAATCTCCTTTATAAGCAGGTAGAATATCTGGTCCCAGCCCAACGAGTGAAAGCCCTAACCAGCAAGAACATGCATTACCCTACAAATCTAAGTCTCTCATTAAGAGGTCTTTGTTTTCAAAAAGCAGATCCCTATTAGGAATAAAGAGTCACCAAAGCCATATCCCAATTATTAAGAATTGTGACAAGGTTTAAATTATCAATAGATTAAAGATTTGGAACGGATATACCAAAACGTATCCATAGTCCACGTGAATGGAGACAATTAAAGTTGTCAAATTAAGTTTCACAACTCTGTTAATAAGGACAGGCTCGACTTTAACAAAGATGGTCTAAATAGAATTAGACCACTTTAGTTTGACATGCATAACTTGGTAGCTGAAACGAGCTTAGGCCAAAGTGACCTGTAGGCCTTAGGCTAGTCCAATAAAAAAAATAAATTAATAATTTAATACTAATAATATTTTTTAAAAATATATTAAAATTTAGGTTTAAATATGTTTTGAATTAAATATATTTTTGGTCTTCCAAAAATTGATTATTTGATTTTAGTCCCTCAAAAAGATTTCTTGATTTTAGTTTTTTAAATTTATATAATATCTATTTTTAGTTTTTTTAAACACTCAACTTTTACTGTTAAAATAGGTTATCTCACCATCTAAATTATCATTAGTTTTATTGATATGGAATTTTTTAATTTAAAATATTAATTATTTTATGATTAATCTAAGATTTAGGGTAAACTTAATTTTACACTTCAAGAATGAGCTTTCTTTAGAGTAATTAACGTGTTGAGATTTAGGGTAAAATGATGTTGCTAAAAGTTGAGAATTTGAAGTTTAGAAGATTGCCGATGAAAGTGTGAAACTGAATATTTTTTGACACAATGGAGGGAAAAAAATTGATTTGAATTTGTGAGAAAATTTTATTACAGTTTGATAGGAGACTTTTGTTCAAGTAAAAGAGAAATTACTGAAATTTCCATACCAACGTGTTGAGTGTAAATAGTGAGAAGTTTTAAATGTAAAATTAGTTTTTATCCTAAAATTAATTTAACCCTAAAATAGTTAATATTTTTAATTAAAAAATTTCATGTCAATAAAACTTATGGTGATTTGCATGCTGAAGTGACCTATTTTAACAAAAAATAGTTAACGGTATTTAAAAAAGGATTAAAAATAGGTATTATATAAACTTGGTGTACTAAAATGAAGGAAATTTTTTGTGGACTAAAATGAAGGAAATTTTTTTAAGGGACTAAAATCAAATAAAGTCGATTTTTGAAGGACCAAAAGTATTTTTAACCCATGTTTTTAATCCCTATAAAATTAGAGTTTTGTTTTTTGTCCCTATAATTTTTTTCTTTATTTTAATCCTTCTAAAATGTATAAATATTATTTTTGATCCTCATAAAATAAATAACTTTTTATTTAATCCTTAAAAAATATTTTTCTTTTATTTTCATTTCTCTAAAACTTAAAGTCACTATTCTTGTCCTTACGGTTATTTTCAGATGAATATATAGGAAACAAATTTACTACAATTTTGAGCAAGAGAAGATACATCTTTAAACCTTCTCCACAATATGAGTGAAGACACTCTTCTTAGGCCTTGCTATAGTAAGTTGCGAGGATCTTGAACACTTGATGCAAAGGATATTCTTTGAACCGCAATAAGTAGTCTCATCCACCTTACACAAGCTAATAAATTTAGACTATTGAAGGTTCATACTAAGACCATAAGCCATGTTGAACTTAGTGAGGATTTCTTCCACTATGCAAACATGTTTCCCATTAGCCTTACAAAACAATAGGATATTGTTTGCAAATAAAAGATGAGATAAAAGGGGTCCTACGAGAAAGGGAAATAAAACTCCAAATATTTGCATCATTAATTAACTCATGAATCCTCAAAGCCAACCTCTCTATGAAAAAAACAATAGGTAAAGAGATAGTGGATCTTTTTACCTTAGGCCCTTGGCAAGATTAAGGTTGTCTAAACACAATTCATTCTATAGAACAAAAAGATTAGAACCTGTCACACCCCACATGATACGATAAACAATGATAATAGGAAATCCAAACTCTCTCAATGTATCCCAAAGAAAAACCCATCTAAGGCGATCATGAGCTTTCTCCAAATCAATTTTTAGAGATAAAATCCCATTTAGACTTAAAATTATGAATAAAATGGACAATTTCCTAAGCAAGGATAATATTATAAATGGTATCTCTTCCTTCAATGAAACTCCCCTAAAAAGGTCCAATTAATTTAGATTAAAAAAATGCCTAAGTCTAGCCACCAGAACCTTATACACCACCTTATAAGCCACATTACACAGATTGATAAAGTAGTACTCCTTCAAATGAGTCAAACGTCCAATTTAGGAACAAGGACAATCACGGTGTCCAAAAGACTCTAATTTGCATAGCCATTCTACAAAGAATCCTTCATTAACCTCCAAAGATCACTATAACTATAGGCCAATACTATTTGTAAAGAAAGGTTGAAATTCATATGACCTCGAAGCCATAAAAATCTCATTCCCATTATGGCTTTCTTAACCTTATCCATCATAATAGGAACAAAAAGAGAATTACATCCATCAACACTAAGTTATGATGTCTACCTAACTAGAAAAGAAGTAGATGAAGGCAAACAATCAAGTGAATAAATAGAGCGAAAATACCTATTAGCCTCCAATCTAAGTTCATCAGGATCAATATGCTAGGTCCCATCATCAAAAAAGAGTACATGTATAATATTTCACTTTCTTTGGATCATAGTTTGTGATGTAACAAGCTTCAAAGAATAAATGTCTTCTCTTTAAAACTTCTACCTCTCTCAAGATCCTTCATCCATGAGGTGCTAGGTTGAAGAATAACACAAAAGTGGAGGGGAATAAGAATGGATTGGCACCACTCTCAAAGAGAGAGATGAGCTAAAAGGTGACTCACCACAAGGAAAGTTCCTTGATAAGAGTCCTTATGGAATTGCACTCTAAGAGAGGAACTCTTAACTCTTGACGTTGAGAGAAAATCTCAATTATCATTCAAATATCTCAAAAGTGACAAATACAATGGAGGAAACACCCATACATTGGCTTGGTTAGTTTGTGGTACAAGTTAAGTAAACTATGGTTAAGTAGACCATAGTTTAGTTAACTTGTACTCAATCTAACTAACCTTGGGTTCCTTATAGGGTTGTGTACCGTACTAGTCTCACAACGATCGAATATTTTGATCACTCAAACTCTTTATGCCTTTGGCACTCGAGCCTCAAGGATTAAGAGTCATACCAACCTCTCATTAATAGTGTGGCTCAATCAGTTAGACTATTTGTGCTTGTGTCACTCGAACCTAGAGGGTTGTGTACCATATGTGCCCCCACGATCAGTCACCCTTAACATCTCAATCTAATTCTAACTGAGCCCTCTGTTAGAAGTTGATCCTTTTACTTGATACAAGAATAACAGGAAACTCCCCCTCCATTTATGGAATAATGGCTAATATCAATGATAATAAAGATACATCATAATTTGTAAAATCATGACAAAAAGTAAGGGATTCATGTCTAAAATATCACCCTGGTGCATATATAAGAACTCCCAAGCCTTAGAAAAAATTAGGCTATGCTTAATGAATACTTTGAACCGGGGCAATTGCTAAGTCTTTTTATGAAAGATTTCATATTAGAACACTACTAAATAAAAACGTGTATGTATTTTATATATATATATATATATATATATACAAATTTTAGTGTGTGTATATATATATATA